GGGGGCGAAGGTGATTGCTGCCCCAGGGCCCGACCTGGCTCTCGACTGCCCTGCTTACTACCCTTACGATTGTATGATTGGGAAAATAGTACAGTTGGTCAGCACTTACTCGAAAGTTATTCTTAATTGCTTAAGGGGGAGTACACAATTAGTACATGTACTTAACTATATCCCACAAAATAACAACACTCACAACACCGAAAAAAGAAATAATAGCACCAGCAGTCGTTGCAACAGATCGGAATACAATAACACCGGATCTAACAACCACAACAAAAGCAGCAACGACAGGCGACGGGAAATTGCGCAGGTTTTCAAACCTATATTGCCAAAAAGTTCAAAGAAGTTTTCCAAAACCTGTTGGAAAATTCGCTGGGATTTTCATCATCGAGTATTTCTTACGTTGAGCAGGTCTTCGGCATGGTACCGACTTGAAATTCTACAAGAATAAGTTTAGGTAGTAGACCTCTTACGTCAGCAATTTTCGTCTTTCCTTGTTATAGAAGACATGGACGACACGGCTCTGCACACATCTTGGATGGTCGCTCAGAGTATTTTCAGCTAAACAATGTACCCCCTCAATCCGACTCCCAACCTGGTAAAGAGGTCTGCTTCTTGAACGGTTTTCAGTGAACACCATAGATGTCATTTTTTGTACACTATAAACTCTATGGTGAACACTCAATCAGCTAAACATGGCCGAGGTCGGGATTCTGATTCGGCCACAGCTACCTCATAATCGATACCACACTCAAAGACACACGCAATTTACCGTGCATACAAAGCGGGGCTTATTGGGTAATCCGTTGCATGACAGGATAGAACCCGCGCAATTTTCTGTCCCTCCCAACAGCACACAAGAATAACAGTAGGGATGACTTCAAAAATAACTAAATGCACAAAAATTAACCAGAACAAAACAAAAATCACATTTTCAGAAATTAAAACAACTCAATCAAAAAAGTGCAGATGTTTTACGGCACTATCGACTATTATCGACACAGTTTAGATCATTTAGGAGGTGACTGCTTTAACCATGCCTGCCATGGCCAGTCAGGCTGAGATGGATACAACGTCTCCGCAGAAAGTCGGAGATACTTGATAAAAATGTTCCCCTTGTGGGAATCGAACATAATATGTCTTCTGTATGGGACGCCCAAGTGCCTTACCACTGCACCACAGGAGCCGATAAATTTGAGATGAGTGGTTTACACATAACTTGTGTTCCTACAGAAAAAAAAATAACGTGTCGTATACATTGCAGAATGTTGCTTCATAGGTTTTATGGTGTAGAATAGGCTGTTGTTTTTTTATTCAGCCAAACTTATGGACCGTGTCGTACTCTATGGCTTATTGGGTTGGGGGCTTATTGTTCAAAGTTAATAGATTGTATCCTGCTCTAGTTTGTTTTGTGTTTTATTTTGTTTTTCAAAGCAAGTAGACAGTTCAATTAGTTAACGTAATGTCATTAAAAGAGAGGCAGAGGCAGACAGAGGGAAAATATAGTGGACAAGATGACAACATGGCTAGGAGCAGCAAGGACAACAGACATCATTTCTGCAACGCAAGACAGAGTGAAGTGGAGGTCCATGATCGCCCACGCCAGTCAGCAAGGCACCGGGTGATGAAGATCTTGAAGGTCATTAAAAACAGTTCGCACGCAACCAAATTTGCAGGTGCCCGTTCTGAAGTTCATTTGCTTGTTTTTGTTAAGTGTTTTTTCTATGCCCTGATGTATAGCTTGTATTGATTAATTTGAATGAGGCAGCAACTGCCAACGGTGTTCACAGTTACAAGCAGCTAGCTGTAACTTACAGCTAGCCGCTTGTAACTGTTGTCTTAATAGAATGATCATTAATAGATTTGGACTGAAATAATCCACTTAAATTCTTCTAAAATAGAGAAGAACAGAAAGAAGAAACAGAAGAAAAAGAAGAAGAAGAAGAAGGAGAAGAAGAAGAAGAAGAAGAAG